AGAGTCTTGGGGAATGCACGCAAATATGAGCTCAAACGGCACTCAGTCATCTTATGCACGTGCTCCTGTGCGGCATCAAAAAGTCTGAAAAACCTGAGTGTTCGACAGATCCTTATCGACGAGGCAGGCATGGCCACTGAGCCAGAGACCCTTATTCCCTTGGTGTGCTTCTCCCAGACTGAGAAGGTGAGGTTTGCAGAGTCTAGTGCTCCTGCCTAGGTTCCGGGGGGGGGCGGGGCAGCTTGTGCTAGGGTGCTAAGGGTGTAATAGGTGAGCGTTGCTATTGGTTGAAGATGACTGAGAAGTTGGGATGCTTCTGGCTCCAAGGATGTCAAGGCCATATCTATCTGTGCTCCAGGTGGTCCTGCTTGGAGACCACAAGCAGCTGCGGCCTGTGGTCAAGAATGAACAACTGCGAAATCTGGGGATGGACCGGTCTCTCTTTGAGAGGTATCACAGGGATGCCATCATGCTGGATACACAGTACCGCATGCACAAGGACATCTGCTCCTTTCCCTCCATGGAGTTTTATGGGAGTAGGCTGAAGACCTGGCCTAATCTGAAGCGTCCACCCAGCATCCTTGGTCATGCTGGCAAAGAGAGCTGCTCTGTCATCTTTGGCTATGTGCAGGGCCATGAGCAGAGGCTGCTGGTGTCCACTGAGGATGGCAATGAGAACTCCAGGGCCAATCCGGAGGAGGTAACAGAGGTGGTGAGTGTCAGAACAATTCTCCATGGTGTCTGGTGGGTCAGGGAAGAGGAAGAGGGTGAAGACCAAGTAAAGCTCCAGTGAGCAGGAAGGCTGGGATCAAGTGAGGCCCCGGTGCTCAGGACAGAAGAGGGACTAGGTTTCAGCTCCATCTGCCCTCTAATCTACTTAGGTCCGCATCACCAAGCAGTTGACCCTGGACCGGACAGTGGATCCCAAAGATATTGCCATCCTTACACCCTACAATGCACAGGCTGCTGCAATCACCAAGGGTCTCACTGAAAGAGGGGTCAATGGAGTGACTGTGACTTCTATCACCAAGAGCCAGGGTGAGGATGGCTCTAAGGAGGCCATATTGGTGTGGGCATCAGCGGGGGGCGGGGGGGCAGAGGGCATAAAGCTGTGAATTCATCTATCGTTTCCTTCTTGGCCTTCCAGGGAGTGAGTGGCGCTATGTGATAGTGAGCACAGTCCGAACATGCCCCAGGAGTGATGTGGACCAGCGGCCAACCAAGAGCTGGCTCAAGAAGTTTCTGGGCTTTGTTGTGGACCCCCACCAAGTAAACGTGGCCATCACCCGGGCCCAGGAAGGCTTGTGCTTCATTGGTGAGGGTTTGTGTTTCTGGGGAAGGCTGGGGTGAGGCAGTGCCAAGCATGCCCAGGACAGAACTAAGAGCCACTTTGATTCTCCCTGCAGGGGACCACGTGCTGCTACGCTGCTGCCCACTCTGGCACCGTCTCCTGGACTTCTGTAAAACCCAGAACAGCCTTGTGCCCGCTGAGAAGGTGCGGGTCAAGAGAAAGTCTGCTCTAGCTTCCTGAAGAGGCCCCACCTGCCCAGCCCTTGATATGCCATCATTCTTCTTTGCCAAGGGCCTGGGCATACAGTGGATAGCCACAGCTCACAGTGACCACTGAAATTAGTCATCCACCTCTGCTATGTTCTTGGGAAAGGCCCTGATATTGGCTGCAGTTGTGTAGCACTGATAGTCTCATGGGTGGTGGCCTCTTCCTGTGCCGGAAGCAGACTCAATAATGATGACCTTCCTGTTTGTGCTTGGACTTGAGTGGAGGGCAAAGAACTGGAGGTGGGCCCCTTTGCTCTGAACTGTGTTGCTTTATCCTCAGCATCTGATCACCGGAACACCTCTTAGTGGCCACAGAGGACCCCAGGGTATACTTTTGCCGTTACTGGGGGCCTAAACAAATATGAGACTCCTCTGAGACTGACTTTGACACTGAGATCAATCTGTGGTTGCACTGACTATTGTGCATTCTATTGCCCTATTTTCTAGTCTTAATAACCTAAAGCATCTTTTCCTGGGACACTCAGAGTAAGCAAGGAAGCCTTCCTGGAAGACAGACTTTCTCTCTCTTCCTGCTTACTACCTTGTGCTCTCCAGGGCTGCCTGCTAGTGCAGGGCCAGGGAGGGCCGAGCTCAGCCAAATAATCATAATGGCCCTGCTCCCTGGGATGTGAAGAAATAGCCCTGTGGGCAGGCAGCTTAGGAATGAGGTACCCCCAGTAGCTCTGGGCTGTGCTTCTTCACCAAGCTTCCATACCTATATCCAGGGCTTTATGACAACCTTTCTGGCACCATCCTTTTCTACAGGACTGAGCAGGTGAAATCTCTCCCATCATGTCTTCCACTTAAACTCCCACCTCCTGGCAGTTCCTTCCTTTTCTGAGGTCAGAGATGCTCCAAATGAACTATACACCAGAAGAACTGGGGCTCCTAAGGCCTGGTTTGCGGAGTCTCCTGTGAGAATAATATCTGGTGTTTTCTACAAACTAAAATTCTACATTCCAATTTTTTAATCTTTCCTCAGGTTATGCTTTATGTAACTGGATAATTTTATTATAAAAACGGCTTTGAAACTTCTCGTGAGTGTCTTGTGATATGGGCAGTGGTAGACAGGACTAGCCATCTTGCAGCCAATGAGATGGTCAAAGGAAGAGTTGAAGCTGGGAGATGAGTACAGAACTTGGGAGAATGGTGAGAGGTGGTGGTGGTACCCCATCTTGTGGCTGAGTTCACGGCTGCATAGCCACTGGAAGTTACTGGAAAATTTGGCAGAGATGGGCCAGAACTGAAGAGATAAGTCTGCTGCTGTTAAGCTTGGTTGACTGTTCTTAGTTTTCAGGCTGAGGCAGGTCCAAAGTCCTTATGGCTGTGGCCTCAATGACAACTTATCTGGTCGAAGTTGTCCTCTAGTACCTTGGGCCCCATGACCTCCTCCACGTCAACTTGTGACATGCATTTGTTTGGCCTTTGGCTTGTAGCCAAACAAGCCTCTCCCAGCACAGCTGATACAAAGAATGACAGGCCCAGGAGATGATGGTGGGAGTTCCTAGAGACACTGTAAGTAAACTAGGTCCCCAAGGCCTACGTGTTTCTAGAGTGAGTGAGAAACAACAGAGGGCACCAGCCTTACCTGCCCCCTCCTCCAGTTAGGTCTGCGGGTGAGATTGGAAAGGGCTCTAGCGCCCTGGGAGCAGCTTGAACTAGAGTGCTAGGGATGTGGTAGGCATTGCTATTAGTTGAAAATGAACAAGAAGTTGGGGTGCCTCTGGCTCAAAGAGCATTTCAAGAGCAGCCATAAATGAGTAGTGGAATTTAGGGATAGATGTGTACCAAAATAAGCAAGTCATTCCTAGATACAAACAGTAGGATCTTCCCACCTAGATTCAGAGAGGGTTTCTTAAAGGAATGGTAGTTGAACCTGGTGGGAAGTAGTAAGGAATGGTTTTGAGTTGGAGCTCAAGAGGAGGAGAAAAATCCAGATCCCATCAGTAATAAAGACACAAAGTATGGTGGGGATGAGGCAATGAGCCTTGGGAAGGCATTGGCCCTAGTAGTCAGTACACAAGTTGGGGAGTGGGCTATGTGAACCAGCTCCCCTGCACCTAGTGGCTGTAGTGGCTCTGTAGTGTGTCCACTTGTAGGCTACACCTCTCTGGGCTCAATGGGGCACAAGACTGAGCCATAGTTGGGGATGGGAGTCTTCAGGTCCCAGTTAGTCCCTCATCAGCATGCCAGGCTACTAGATCCATGTATGCTTCCCTTAGCCAGCCCCCATTCAAGCCCTCTCCTCACCAGTGGAGTTGCTATGACCAATACCCAGTCTCCATCCTACAGCACACAGGCCATTGTGGGTCCATTCTGGATCTCTAGGATGACTCTAATTTGTGAGACATCCATAAGCAATTGGCACTTTGACCACATGATGCCACAGAGAATGACAGTTCTGACCATTAAGAACCTTTGCTGGATCTATGGCTGGAGGTACCTGGCTTGCTACCCAAGCTGAGCCCCAACAAGCAAAGCACATTCCCAGTAGGGAAGTAGGGGGGATCTTTATTACTTACCACTCAATCATACTCATGCAACCACTCTGCCAGTGGGGGAGAATTCCCTGCCTTTGACTACCCGATGACCCCCGGCTCCTGTCAGTCCTGGTAATCTCACCACCACCCATGATGTATGTGGTAGGAAGCTGGGCTTAGAGTATGTTGTGTCAGCTCCTTACATTCCTTTTTATCAGCTTTGCTGCTTTGCCCAGGGTACAAGGTGCTATCATTCTGGATGCAGAGGTGACTAAGCCTCCATCTACCTCTTCTACCTTGTGATTATCCGTGTGTGTGTTGACCTGAATGGAAGACCTTAATGTCAAGGTGCCCTGGACAACAATATGTTCATCTGTGTGGGCTGAATACCCTTAGCTAGCTAACAAAGAGTAGTCAGTGCTTCAAGGGTGGTCACTTTTCGGAAGCCAGGCACCATTAAAAGTCTTGGAGAGGTGCCCAGCCAACCTTCTCTCTGAAACCCTCACACACTTGGAGTGCCTATGAGTGTCAGCTTACTTGGGGAGAGCGTTAAGATTTTTTATTTTAAAAGTAAGACATCTTTTGGTCCTGGGCATCCTTGCTCCAAGGCAGCTGGGATGCTAACACCAAGGCTATGACTCCCCTCAGTGGTGTCCAGACAGGCCCAAAGTATCGTCTTCCTCAGGAAGCTCAACCTGGGAGGCAGGTAAAGAAATCTAGCTGTGAGGGTGAGAGATGTATGAGGTACTGAGGCTGAGGGGCTGCATTCCCTTGATGCAGCCAGGTACCAGTGGCCAGCACTTCCTGTTCCAGTGGCCAGCTGTCCCGAAAGATCCAGCCTGGGGCTCTCCTGGAGAAGACAGAAGGCATAGGGGGCTCTGGGGCTTGTAGGGTGTTGGGCCATTAGGAAAATACAGCTGCTTCTGCCTTAAGGCCTAAGTAGGGTTGTATCTTTAATTTGGTGTGCGTATACTCCTCTTTATTAGTGGATAAATATTAGAAAATCATCTCTCAGAAGGTGTGGTCAGGGGCAGGCTGGGCTTGCCCAGCCGACTGGGGGCAGGTCCTTCAGGAGGTCCTGGCGTGGTCTGCAAAGTGAGGCTGTCCCGCCAGGGCTCATACACCAGGGTATAGCTCTCTGCCCTCTTGATGGTGAACTTGTAGGTACGGTTGGGTAACAGATTGTGGACATCAAAGGTGCAGGCAGCCACAGGGACTATACCACACTGTGTACACTCCTGTTGTGTCCTCGGCTCCAGCAGCTTGAAGCGCAGTTCATATTGCTCTGGTGCCGCTGGTTGGATGGTAACAAACCAGCGCAAGCTGACCCAGTCTTGATGGGCCACTGACTCCTTCCGGTCGAACATAACTGGCATCTTTGTGCTCAGCATAAGCCGGATGTGTGGGATTTTGGTGGCTCCAATGTCAGACACCAGGCGGTGCTTGACATGCAGGTGTCCTGGTACCATCATGGCTAGGAAGTTGTCCATGACAACTGACAGGTCTGCCAACTGCTGCTCCACAAGCCCCCAGCCAGCCAGGAAGGGCCGTGGGTCAGGAGCCTCAAGCAAGGCATCCAAGGCTGCCCGACCATGGTCTAGCTGCTCCAGCAGGTCCCCAAGCAGCAAGAGCTGGATCTTGGTCTGTGCTGTCCCCACCTTCTTCATGCGCTGAAATTTCCAGGGATCAATGAGCTGGAACATGGTGTTAGGCAGCACCAGTGGGTTCTGGTCACCCAGGGCCAGGTGCTTAGGGAGGATCTCAATGTAGTAGGAGCACTTTTTGAGCAGCTGCATGCGGGCATGGTGGCGCTTGAGCAGCTGGGGGCTCAGGTCTGTGGTCAGGAACTCACGCAGCACATTGCGGCGCTCCATGTATGTCCTCCAAGCCTCCGGCTCCAGCAGCTGCTGATCCTCTGCCTCCTCCACCTCCTCTGCGTCCAGGAAGGAATGTGGACTGTCCAGCTTCATTTTGTCCAGGGCCAGGCCTGTCACCTGGAAGTTCATTGTCTGGGAGCTGAGGGTAAGAAGTAGGTATCAGCTGTGACAATCAGACTGGCTCTGTCTCCCAACCTAGGCCCTCTGTCCCACATCAGCCTCTGCCCCATAACGGCCTCTGCTCTTCCCTGGGCCACAGCTTTCTGATCAGAGGCCACCGGAGGGACAGAATAGTAGGCTGCGTACTAGACAAAAGTAGATGATGGACAGGGATCTTCTATCAAGGGGCCAATAGGCTTCTGTGGTGATGACCTAACAGGCTGAGAGAATGGGGTATAGCGCCAGAGTGGCCCAGGAAGCAGCTCTGTGATGTTACCCAGTTTTGAGATAGATCATAAGCCTAACATGGGTAGTGTTGGGGGCTGTGGAGAGGCTTAGGGTGATCCTTGGGGTACCCTAATACTCTCCAGAGAGCTGGTTACACCTCAGCGTCACTGCAGTGCTTGGGGACAAGTCTAAACAAAGACAGGACTGTACATCATCCTCACATGGAGGGGCCTTGTGTGCCCAGGGCAGAGCCCATCCTGCCATCCCACAGATGAGGAGCCTGAGGCTAAAGCTTGGTAGGCTGGCCTTCATCCACAGTCACTTTTGATTTTGACATAGCATCTCACTCTGTTGCCCAGGCTGCCCTCAAACTCTGGTGCTCAAGCTGTCTTCTCATGAGACCCTTGAGACTCCAGGGGTATATGCTACTGTATCCAATTTACCCCAAAGCTGGAATTGTTGACTCCAGAGTCTGCCCTCCTTTGCTTGTCCCCATACCTGGTCCCCAAATCTGGCTGTCTGTGGAGAGGCTGGTGTGCCACAAAACCCAGCAGCCAGAGCTCCCTGGAGAAGGGACCAGCATCCTGCTAGCTGTCCCTGGTACTGGGCCCGTGGCTTCACTTGGAGATCTCAGGTTGTGGAGACTGGGCTTGGATGAATGAGAAACAGAACTAAGAGACTGGAAGACCAGCTCAAAGCCGTACAGGTTGAGAGTAAGGTGATCCAAGTTGGCCTCACTCCCCAAAGACCATTTCAAAGTAACTTCTGTGAGTCAGGAGGACTAGAACAGGCATTTGAGACTGCAGAGAAGGGTTCCTGGCTGAGTGCTAGCTGAGATCAGGGCCCCAACTGGACACCCTGAACCAACCCAGTTCCTTGAAGCTAGAAAGTTCTATGAAACTCCCCATAACTATTTCCCCCTGTCTAAGCTATTCCATTTCCCCGGTGGAGCCTATCTACCCCATCCCTTGGGCACAGCCAAACTCCTCTACCTACCACTCCTCTTCCGGATCACCTCCGCGAGCCCCAGCCCCCTCTGCAAGTGCCTGGCGGCCCGCCCTCTCTGCGGTGCCCAGCCAAAGCCGCAGGGTGCACTCTCAGGTCCGCCTGTTGCCATAGGAACCACTGGCCCTTGTGACGTAGTGCACATCCGGCCCAGGTGTAGGGAACTCTTTGAGGGCTGAGCTCAGATTTGCGGCAGCAGCGATTTATGTCCAGGGCCGCACGGACTCAGGCAAGCACCACCTCAGCCCGCCCCCACCGGCTAGTGGAAATGTTTCGAGGCTTCGTGACTCCCAGCAGCCCAGGAGCCACTGCGGTGGCTGGGTCAACAGCCTGGCTTAAACTGGGGTCCCAGAAACGCAGAAAATTGGTGTCTTTGAGTGGGGCAGCGCTGCCTTCTGGGGCTTAAGAAGCCCTCAGATGCGGGGAAGGGGGTGTCTGCTTTATATTCCAAACCAAGCGGTGGCCTGTGGATCTCAAGGAAGACAGCAGAGAAAGGAGGTGATTTAGGAGCAGATGGCTAGCAAGCAATCAGCAATCACCTTAGCAAGCAATCAGCAAGGTGAAAGGTGCTGGCTTTCCCAGGCCTCCAGAAGTTGATGTCCCGAATAAATGGCGTCTCCATAGCTCTAGGGATCCTCAAAGAAATTCTCAAGTTGTGAGTCAGTCTCATACTCCAAACTGGACTCTGGACCCCTGGATTTACTACCCAGATTCCCTCCCCTTTAAGAGCCAGCTTGGGGTTGCTCCTAGCAAGGGTCTCAGGGTCCCAGCCGCCTGAAAGCTTCTGACTCGTTTCTACTCAGTGTCTGTCCTTCCGGATGGGGTTTGTCCCTGAACTGCTACCAACTTGAGTTACAAGCAGGGCTCCCAGCCCTCCTCATGGCATCTGGCTTGGTGGGGAGTAGTTTTCCTACCTGTCAACCTTAGAGGCCCTGTAGGAGGAGGAAGTGATGGCTGCTGGTTCTGTGCTCATCTGGGCTAGTCACGGTGGCCAGTTTTAGAGGTCTCAGGGACAAGAACTAGGTTATTTGGAGAAAGGGATGCCGTCTGAAGGTCCAGGAGGGAAACTGGCCCCTGGGAAGTAGGAGAGAATAAAAAGCAGCAGGAAGAACACCATCTTCCTCAGGAAGGAGATGGGTGGGGCTTGCTACCTTGTTCTTTTTGGGAGTTGGGCTTATTCCGTCTCTGTGAAAGCTCCTCAGACCCACTCTATCCGTCTTTTTTTTTCTCCTAATTTTCTAATTTTAAATTTTTGAAAATTTTATTTTGTATGTATGAGATTTTACCTACATGTATATGTGTGCACTGTGCGCATGCCTGAAAGTCAGAAGAGGCCCTTGGATTCCCGGGAACTGGAATCAGGGATGTTTTTTCAAACCCCTGTGTGGATGCTGGCAACTGAACCCAGGTGGTGTGCCAGAGCAACCAATGCTCGCAAATTCTGAGCCGTCTCTCCAGCTCCTCTAAGCCTTGATTAAAATTTTCATTGTGAGTTGTGCAGATTCTCATGTGGGCTCTGTTGTGCTTTGTTTGTTACAGGGTGTTACTCACTGGCCTGAAACTCTCTGTAGACTGGGCTGGGCTCAAATTCACAAGAGATCCATCTGCCTCTGTCTCCTGAAGGCTGGGATTAAAGATGTGCACCATTCCACCTGGCTTACAACGGTTGTAAGGAATGATGATCCTACAATCCCACTTATCCTTCGTCCATTGCTCCAGGTGTAAATTATTGAAAAAAATCGAAGTATAAAATCATACTAGTACACAGGGAAGGAAGGTCTGTGGCCACAGAGACACCTCAAAGAGCCCATTGGGCCAGCCCATCTTCATCACCCCTTATTTAGTTACTTTTTATTGCTGTGAAGAAGAGTTTATTTGGACTTAGTTTCAGAGGGTGAGTCTGTGACCATCGTGCTGGGAAGCCTGGCAGCAGGCATGGTGCTGAGGCAGCAGCTGCACACTTACATTTTTACATGCAAATAGGAGGCAGAGAAAGCTAACTGGAAATGATACCGGCTTTTGAAACCTCAAAGCCTTCCCCCAAGTGACACACCTCCCCAAACAAGGCAAACTTAATCCTTTCCAGACAACCCAACCAACTGGGGACCACATATCAAATATGGGAGCCTGTGGAGGCATTCTCATTCAAACTGCCACATTCCATTTCCTGGCAAATTACAACATGCAATGACACAGCTTATACATTTTTGTCTGTTCTGGTCCCTGGAAAAATGGAAAAAAATATTTTTTTTTGAGAGCTGGATCCCACAGATTCTCTCCGTGCTCTGATCTTGGGGAGGGAATGAACTCTTTCCTCGTCTGGAGGAGGAAAAAGAAGAGTCCTCTATCTTGAGGCTGTAACACCAAGACATGTTGCTTGTGCCTTAGGGTTTCTGTCTCTTTCTGGCTGTTCAAGACAGCGGCTGGGATTCATTCAGCTACCTAAGAAGCTGGAAGGACAAAACTAGTTCATAGGTGTCTCTGGCACATCAGAATTTACAAATTGCTCCAGGTGCTTCGGAGAAGTCTCTGCTTCTCTAGGGTAGATGGGGAAGGAACAGGTGTCACACCTGATTGATATGTTTAAAGTATAAAGCAGCAGAGGAAGTACCTGCAAGAATTACATGCAGAAACTTAGTAGTAACCGCTCGGGAGCTAAGCTGTTGTGTTGGGTCAGAGAAGGCAGCAAGGGGGCAGAGAGCCTGCAAGTGAGACCTACCCCCCCCCCCCCCCAGCCCCAGACTAAAACAGAAACATGCCCAAGAACTGAGCTGACTGGAGCCTGGTCCCCCTTTTCTGACAGTGAAAAACTGAATGGTAGGCAGCTTGCCTCATCTCACAGAGAATTCAGGACTATAGGTGACTATCTGAGGCTCACCCACTGCGCTCTCCTTGCATGCTGACCTAGTCATATCCTCCACCTGAGGTCTTAGATATCCAAGTCTCCTCCTCCCTGCAGTGGTATTAAGCATCTGGTCATGAAATAGCTCAGAAATCTTACGCTATCATCACCTCCTGCTCACCTGACCCTTCACTGATTCCCCCCCCCCCGCCCCCCGAGATTACTACCAGCGTCTCATTTTACAACACAGGAACCAAGAGCTTATTGTGTGCTGAGCTTTTACTCCAGAGGCCACCGCTGAGTTGGACAGGCTACAGATCTACTTGAATCTGACCCTGAACAGAGTTTTTAAGGTAAAGAGCCAACATTTTAAAAGCCAGTGTTCCACAGAAATATGGTCCCTGGGGATGAGCTGCTCCCTCAGTGGACTCCACACTCTCAGGGCGGCTGCTGGTTGCACATGCCCAGCTGGCAGGGCAAAGCAGGTCCCTGCAATCTGTGCCTGTGGATGGGAGGTGAAGAAGAGCTTCTCCCAGTAGGCCCTCCCCCCAACCCTGCCCCTTCCTGCAGGCTCCGCCCAACTCCGTCTCACTTTAGGAGCTTACTGAGTCAGGAATCTCAAGCCCAGCGGCTTTTAACCCCAGCGGAGATCCAGCTCACCAGACCGCACAGCTGCAGAAGGCTAGGAGGAGCAACCTGTGCGGTCCTGAGCCGGAGATCACCGAACGCCCCTCGCATTGCTGCACCATCCGGGAAGCTGACTTGTGCTGTGTGCCTGACTGAGGAGCCCTCTGTACTGGCCGAGAGGGCTAGGGTTAGGGTCTGTGTCACCTGTCACTTCCCATCCCGTGCCAAGTAGGGATGTGGGCAGGAAGCACGGGGTAGCCTGGCTGTCCCACCAGCCTTTCCGGTTTCTCCCTCGCACCCTGGGCTCTTGGTGCATGGTTGTATAGTGCCCGTCAGCGGCAGCACCGAGGGCCCAGAGTGCTGACCCCGAGGCCGGCTCCATGCGCCTTCGTCCGCAACAAGGTCCCCTAGGCATGGAGCCCTTCCTCCGGAAGCGGCTCACTTTCTTGTCCTTTTTCTGGGATAAGATATGGCCAGCGGGTGAGTCGGAGGAAGACATCCCCCAGGTCCAGGGACTCGATGACAACCCAGTCCGGGAGCAGCCTGCTGCCATTGAGCCTTGCATCTTCCCAGCCCCACCAGCCCGACTCTTCCGCGCGCTCTACGACTTCACGGCTCGATGTGCAGAGGAGCTGAGCGTCAGCCGCGGGGACAGACTCTACGCCCTCAAGGAGGAGGGCAACTACATCTTTGCCCAAAGGCTCTCTGGGCCGCCTAGCACCGGACTGGTTCCAGTCACTTACCTAGCCAAGGCTACCCCTGAGACGCCCTCAGACCAACCGTAAGTATCTGGGCTTGGGAGTTAGGGCTAAAGGCTTGCCATGCCCGATAGAGTTAAGTCAGGGGTTTGACAGTAGTCAGTAAGGGCTTACGGAGTGCCTGCTGGCACCCGGCTGAGCAAACAGGTGTGGCATGGCAGTTCAACTGGAAGAGCTGCGCTGCTGAAGGGGAACCAGTCACTCTATAGTCGCTACAGGATCCTGCCTCCATGCAGAGGTTGTCACAATATGCAGTGAGTGCTTGCTGCTCTCAGACCAAGAGCTGAGGTCTGAGATGCCTTTGCCACGGGATACAGCCATGCACTGATTGGCAAGGTGGGAAGACATACCTGAGCTTCCAGGTGGCTCTGGCTCTGGGTCCCCAGTACTTCTAGGTACTACAAACCAGATCAGAGGCCAAGTGTTCATCTTTATCTATTCCCATTCACCCTAACACCGCAAATGGGTCTAGGTGTGAGGCACATAACAGCCCTGACTTGTTTTGGTGAGTGGATGTGGGCAAAGGCTGTGCAGTCACTGGCAGCGAGTGGTAGGTTTTGATGCCCAACTCTTGCGTACCAGGAGGCTCATGCATCAGGGTTTGTGCTGGGCAGGAAAAGGTTGAAAGCTGAAGAGCTTGGTCTATGAAACTGTCCCAGATCTTTTACCCAGTGGGTCCTGGCCTGAGGCTTCTGCATACCAAACTCAGGCACTGGCATTGTTCAAATTTATCTTCTAGCCTCCAGAGGACCCAAGAGGTTTTGTGTGGTAGGTAAAGTGGAGCCAAAGGAAAGGGATCCAGGCATTTGCCCCATGCCTGCTTTCTGGCCCTCAGCGGTAGGTAGACAAGGCCAAGTAGCTGTTTTGGTGGAGGGGTCTCCCAGTCACACAGGTTTGGGAGACAGAACTTGTAAACAGGTCCTATAAGCTGCTGGCATGGCAGGCAGGCCGGCCTGGCCTCCTAGAAGCAGGGCTGCTAGTGGGAGAGCTAATGACTGCCTAGACCTGGAGATCAAAGAGCTGACCACACTTATTAGTCATTAGTCCCAGACACCTGGCCCCACAATCTAGGGAATGACCCTTGAGGCATAGCCTCCACAGTTCCAGCTGTCATCGAAGCCCAGCTATATCTCATAGTGGCTTGTAGCCAGCCATAGCTTCAAAGAAAGTCTGGGCTATGTTGGAAAAACTCCCACTTATGGTCCCCCACAGTGGTGCTGTCCTGAGAAGGGAACTCACCTGAGGGGCTCTTCACCTGCTAGAAGATCTCACCTCCCTGCTCACAGAGCCTGTAAGTAGGGCCCTAGCTCTCAGTAGAGAGAAAGGAAGCTTCAAAGGGCTAGATCTGCAGCTTCTGAAGTGAGTTTGTGGACCTTCCTAACCCCAGCCCAGGCTCCATCTCTATCCTTGATAGTCACTTATATCTACTCAGCTTGCCAATGCTAACTCCTGCTTCTCAAGCCTTGGGCCTCTGTTCTTTTGCTTGCTCGGATCTTTCAGCTGTGCTCATCCCTTTATCCCCAGCCCAGGCCCAAACCCTGGCCATGACAGCTCTTCTGCTGTGTCTCTCCGGGAGGGGGCTGGCCTGTCTGCTCGTTTGTGGATTAACCTGAGTCACACTGTATGTTCCTCACTACCTTGCCTCCATCTGAAGGGACTGAGGGACAAAGCTCACGGGCCTTTCCTTGCATTTCTGTGATCCCTAACCCACTGGCTCCTGAAAGCTCCCGGAAACGGAAAAGCTTGGATGGGAAGTGGAGCCAGCTGTGGAGCCTTGTCCGAGCCTTGGGGAGCAGAGATGCATATACTAGGGTGGGTCTTGGGGTGACTTTGTCTTTCTGAGGTTGCTTCTGCCTCTTAAGAATGAATGGAGTGGCCGAGCCATCATGGCATATGCTTTTAATCCCAGAACTCTGAGGCTGAAGCAGGTGGATCTCTGAGTTTGAGGTCACCCTTATTCACATAGTGAATTCCAAGCCAGCCAAGACTGCTTTTTTGAGATCCTGTCTCAAAAAAAAAAGAAAAGAAAAGGAAAAAAAATTATAAGATAAAGAAAAAAAGAGAGGAAGGAAAGAAGAGGGAGAGAGAGAGAGATATGATTGGAAACCATACCTGATATGACTTAGTAGTTAGGGGCTGGCTCACCCAGGTGTGCCCTTTCTGAGCATAAGGAACTTAGAGTGTGCTTCTACTCTCTGCCTCTGCTAACATCTTTCCCATCTTGCCTTAGTCTTCCTTTTGTGGGGTCCCTAGCTCCCAGGTAGCCAACCTCTCAGATGAGCCATGTCCAGCCGGGTGACACCCCTGGTTTATTCCCTGGCCATACTAGAGCTCTGTGGATGCTCCTGGGGCAGCTTATTGGGGACCTTGGTTCTCTGTGGACCTCCACAGCGACTCACCAATTTCAAGTTTGGGGTTTGGTCTTTGGCCAGGGCTGTTAGCTTTTGGTGAGGTCTGGTAGTTATATTAGAGTAACAAAACCAGTGGCCCAGGTTAGTGGACAGTCTTACCTATGTGAAAGGGATTCCAGTCACTTGATGGTGGTGGCCTGGGACCCCAGCTTCAAGCACGGGGACACATTTTCTCCTTGAGAGAGAGCCGGACAGTTGAGGCCTCACACCTTGCCAAGGTCACATGGCTAGGCCTGAAAGATGACTGTTGTGTCCTGGATTTGCAGTTGGTACTTCAGTGGAATCAGCAGGACTCAGGCCCAGCAGTTGCTCTTGTCCCCTGCCAATGCACCAGGAGCCTTCCTTATCCGGCCCAGTGAAAGCAGCATCGGGGGATATTCTCTGTCAGGTACTTGGACAACCCTTCAAGACTTCATTTTCTGGGTGGGGCATCTTGCTCAGCTCTACCAAGCCAGACCTTCTTGACCTTGGAGCAGTTGATCCATACACTAGTAGCCTTTCATATAGTCATGATAGTTATTAAGTACCCTTCCTGCTTTCTCCCTTTCTCTTTCCCTCACTTCCTCTCTCCCTCCATTCTTTTTTCTCTCTTTTCCCTCTTCCTTCATTCACTCCCTTAGCATTTCATTCAACATGAACCTATTTAACACTCTTTGTCCCTGGGGCCCTCTGGCTGTCCAGGGGCCTATAGCTGACCATGTCCCTTTTTGCACAGAGTATTGTCCACCACAGGGGCCCCATGACCATCTGAGTGAAGCCACTTGGGAAGCTGGGGTACGGGTGTCTGAGGCAGGTGCAACCAAGGCACTGGTTTCCATCTCTGTTTCTAGTCCGGGCCCAAGCCAAAGTCTGCCACTATCGCATCTCCGTGGCACCCAGTGGTAGCCTCTACCTTCAGGAGGGCCGGCTCTTCCCCAGCCTGGATGCATTGCTGGCTTACTACAAGACCAACTGGAAGCTGATCCAGAACCCTCTGTTGCAGCCCTGCATACCTCAGGTGGACCTGAGACATCCTCATATCCGGGGACCACTGGGAACCCTGTCTTAGAGTCTCCTGGCAAGCCTCTAGCCTAGACATGGCCAGGGAATAGCCAATGTCCAATGGTTTCCTCATTCTGTTGGAGTTGGCCCCCATCACCCGCTTTATCTCCTCTGAGGCACCCAGTTCTGCAGGATATCAGGAGAAGTGAAGGCCAGTGTGGGGAAGGCACCCACAGCTGCTCCAAGCCTCGAGGGCAGAAGCTTAGAGAAGAGATACTGTTTTCCCTAGTATCTGATATTACCGGGTCCAAGGCAGCAATCTGGTTTCTCTGGTTCTGTAATGACAGCCTAGCCGGGGTTGTAATAAGTGTTTGTGAACGGATGTCCGGCTCTGGTAAAGGGGCCGCTTAAGTCCCCAAAGCAATTAGCGTCATAGCTGTGGGCTTGGCCTCCCGAGGTCAGCACTGGTCTCCTCTTTGTCCCAGCCTGGGCTTGGTAGGAGTATACTGGGGAAGGAGAGGCTGAGACCTGCTGCTGGGGTTCTTTCTAGGCCTCACAGGGAGTGAGTCAAACAGTACCTCAGCCTTCCTGCCTGCTTTGCCAGGGGAGCCTCAGACAGCACATTGAGTGTCCCTTCCCACAGATGCCCCTGGCTCAGGATGAGTGGGAACGGCCACGTTCAGAATTTGTCCTTCGGAGAAAGCTGGGCGAAGGCTTCTTCGGGGAGGTATGGGAAGGCCTGTGGCTGGGCACTACACCTGTGGCGGTGAAGGTTATTAAGTCAGGTGAGGCCCTGCAGCCAGGCATGGGCAGCACTGCCCTCTGACCCTAAAGCCCGGGGCAATGGTGGTCATGCACAGTCCTGGAGCAGCATCCTTTTCACAGCTGACATGAAGCTGGCAGACCTCACCAAGGAGATTGAGGCACTGAAGAGCCTGAGGCATGAGCGGCTGATCCGGCTGCATGCTATATGTTCCCTGGGAGAACCCGTGTACATCGTCACTGAACTCATGGGCAAGGGCAACCTGCAGATCTACCTGGGCAGTGAGTAAACTCCCTCCCATCACCCTGTAACAGGCACATCTGCCAACCCCCATGAAAGCATTCACGTCCTGGGTCCACAGAGAATCCTTAGGTCTTTGGAAGGGACACATGTGGCCTAGATTACAGACACCTGGTCCTACTGCACCTCTGTTTAGCTGAGGGCATTGAGGCCAAGGGTCTGAGCCAGGCTTAAATTTGGCTGAAGGCTATCTAGTCAAATCCTGGTGTTTCCAAGGCTAAGACTGCACTACGGGTGGTAAAGGTTCCCTTTGTGTCACTAACTTCTGACATCTTGCCTTGGACCCAGTCCAGGTTGGGTACTATCTCCCTTGGGGGTCCAGGCAGGTGTCAAGAAGCAGCTTCTGCTGAGGCCTTGTGGTGAGTGCAGGACTTCGCTTTTCATTGTGTTCTCATTGCCTACTGGACCTTGTGGGTGATGCTGCTCTCACTCTCTCAGAGATAGGGGAACCAAGGCCCAGAGGAAGCGTGTGTGTGCACAAGCGCTTGCCTTGCCAGCCACTGCCCTGTGTCCTCAAGAGGACTGATACCCAGCCTTGACCTCTGAGCCCCTCTGTCTGCAGGCCCGGAGGGAAAGGCCCTGAGCCTACTTCATCTACTGGGGTTTGGCTGCCAGGTAGCAGAGGGCATGAGCTACCTGGAGGAGCAGCGTGTTGTCCACCGGGACTTGGCTGCCAGGAACGTGCTGGTGGGTGATGACCTCACCTGCAAGGTAGCTGATTTTGGCCTGGCCAGGCTGCTCAAGGTCAGTGGGGTCTGGGCCCCTAACCCCTGCAGACGTGAAAACACTATCCTGAATTCCCCACCCGTTGCACCTCATCCCCAGGACGACGTCTACTCCCCAAGCAGTGGCTCCAAGATCCCCGTCAAGTGGACGGCACCCGAGGCAGCTAATTATCGTGTCTTCTCCCAAAAATCAGATGTCTGGTCCTTCGGCATCCTGCTGTATGAGGTCTTCACCTACGGCCAGTGTCCCTATGAAGGTGAACCGTCAGAGAGGAAATCATGACTCATCGGGGAAAGTTTAGTCTGAGGGAGGTAGCCTGGGATCCAGCCTGAGGGAGGAGATGTACCCAGCCCTGGGAGTCACTGATCCCCAGAGGTACCAGGATAGGGCCTGGAATACCAGCACAGACTGGTATTAGCAGCTGGGGTTAGGGTTGGGGGTGTCTTTTTGGTGGCACTGTAGGCAGAATCAAGGCGGCTGCTGACTGGTCCCTCTTGCCGGCCCCTTCCCAGGAATGACCAATCACGAGACACTACAGCAGATTAGTCGTGGGTACCGGCTGCCACGCCCAGCGGTCTGTCCGGCAGAGGTCTATGCGCTCATGGTGGAGTGCTGGAAGGGCAGCCCCGAGGAGCGTCCCACCTTTGCCACACTGAGGGAGAAGCTGAACGCCATACACAGGCGCCTCCATCTGGGCCTCACGTGACCAGGTCTCCAGACCCACAGGCAGTGGCTAGGGCAGCTGTTTCCTGAAGGGTGTCTCCCAAGGAAACAGAATGCACGTGGGAGCTGCTGCACAACTGGGAAGCGCAGCAGCCGCCAAGCTCCAACGTGAGGACTCCTTCACTGACATAGACTGGTACTTACATGTGCACACCAGATGGACGCGTGCAGACTGGGCCTGGTCATAAGCGCTCACTTAGGTAGAAGTGAGGGCTGATAGCCTCCTCCTGGCATAGTTTGACTCCCTGCTGTCTCCAGGGTGTTGATAACTTGTAGAAAGGGAGCTGTAAGGAAGTGCTGGGTGGAGGAGTACCGGCAGAACCAGCAGTTTGCTCCTGGCCCTCACCTCGGCTCTCTCCCAGAAACCAAAGATGAGAATACCAGTTTCCCTCAGGTCTCACTGTGGATTTGGTTAAGCAGCCAGCATTAGGGCTCTGGAGCATATCTCACCAGTACCTGCTGTGTCCTCAGAAGGGACAACAGCACCCCTCCCCCCCCGCCCCCCCCCCCCCGCCCCACAGATACCAGCAAACCTTAGGCGCACAGTCAGCTTCAATAAACATGCTCCAATGGATTCACCTACCAGTTCCCAGAATGGAGTGCTGCTGGAGGCTCTTACTGTTCAGAGAAAGAGTTGGATCACTGCCCCCCCCCCAGCCAGACCTCTGTTACAATGTGGACCCCTATAGCATTAATGGTGGAGACTGGGGGCAAGTGAACAGCCCATTCCATCTCCCTGGCCTGGAACTGAAGCCAGAAGGCTCTTCAGTGTCAGAAAAAGCACACTGGCTAGCTGGTGCTCAGCACTCCCTGGCCTCTTCTAGATGCAGAGGAATGGCATTTCAAGACTGTTTCTTTGGATGGGCAGTGGTTAGGAGACAGGATTTCCTGGTTGACAGGATTAGGCAGATACAGGTAGGATATTGACAACCAGATAACCTACTCTCTGTGGCAAAGCTCCCATGGGCCACTTTGTGAGTGTGACACCTTGAGAAGTTGGGCCCTGGATCATTCAATACTTCAGGGCACTAGAGGCGGCACACTGGGGGCAGGGATAAGGACGGGGGGGCTTTGCTCAGGGACCCCAGGCCATTTTACTCTCCTAGCAGCTATACCCAGAAGGCCATGAGGCAGAGAGACTGGCAGTCCCTAGAGGGTATGGGATTTTGGGTCAGCTCTGCATTCACCAAGGCCAATTTGCTTATGATTACTGACCACTAGGCTGTCAGCTACATGGAACTGGGAACTGGACCTCATATGTAAAGTGGTCCATTAGGTACAGCAAAGATTTTGGGGGTTAGCCAGTCATAGGGAGGCCAGGCTGACAGAGTGTGCTGACATTGGTCTTTATAGGTAGGCAAGGCAGTGGGGTTGCGCTGAGGCGTGGCCCTGCCTCTACCTCAGTCTGCACCTCTGACCTCTCACTCTATTTGGGGAGGTTGAAGGGAAGAACCTGGAACTGGCAGTTGGCTGCTGTGGGCTCTGCTTTGCCAGCACACAGAGCAGCAATATGGGCCCAAGGGCTTGCATGGCATAAGATGATAGTTAAGATTTTGATGTTAAAGGGCTTCCGTGAGTCAAACTAGGACACTAGAGATAGGATGCTCTGGCCTGGGAAGAAGGATGGTGCTGGGCTTGTAGCCAAGTCGTGGAAACAGGTTGGGCTGGTTTCTGGCACATTCCTAGGTGTCTAGTCTACCAAAGAGGAGCAGGTTTGGCTCTCCTGGGAGAGGCCAAGGACTTTTGAGCCACCTGGTATATCATCGACAGAACTGCCCACAAGTCTCATCTACAGACTTGTGGCTGTCCAGGACATGGCTAGGACTCAGAGGTTCAAGATTTGACGGTCTTGGAGCCTACAAGGGAGGTAACCGTGGAGTTCTTGAGGCTGACCTCTGCCAACCCCATCCTTATTCCTTTCCTCCTCTTGTATCAACCATTCCCCACGCCTTGGAACTGAGCTAGGCTGAGTAGGTGTGAGGTCATTAAATAATACATGTTGCTGTTCCTAATCTCAATAGGAAGCAGGTGAGCAGTGCTATCTCTCTTTAGTGAAAGAGAACTCAAGGCCTGGCACAGTTCTCACTGGTAGAACATTTGCTTAGCATGTGGACCAGGATGTGATCCTCGGAAAGAAGTAGTACCATCACCACAGCATTCCCCCACCAAAAAATAAACAAAACACACACACACACACACACACACACACACACACACACACACACACACGAACTTTGATACAGTATTAATAGGTAGTTGAACACAGTGTTATTTCCCAGTCACTCATCCTTACAGATGGTTCAGCTTCCTTTCCCACCCCTCTTCTTCCAGACCCCTGTGTAGGAGCACCCCATACTGGACAGACACGAAAGGATCAGCCAGAGGGAAAAAGTCGATCAGGGTCTCTGGAGAGGAGGAATCTTTGGAATTTTCAAGGTTCAATGGGAGGAGGAGGGACGGACTGGAGCAGTCACACTCGGGGCCACTAGGAATTGGGGTAGCATGGAAGGTGAGCTGGAAGGGACCCTGGGGGCCACAGAGCAGAAGGGAAGCCTGGGAAAGACAGCGATGGGGCTATAGAGGCTCTGGTGGTCCTCCCTAGTCATAACTTACCTTTTGTGACTGCCCCCTTGTGTCCTTATCTGGGGAGACAGGACAGTGCCTGCTGCTTCATCTGAGGTCTATGGACTACAGGTTCCGGAGACATCAGAAGCCCCCTAGCCCAGCCCATAACCCACATGCATGTTTATGCCTCCACATACCTTGGTTCCTCTTGTCTCCCCAGCTGTCATGTTGTGGTCTAGCATGCTGTCCTGGGTAGCTGTTGTGGCAGAAGCTTAGGCTAGGGTATTCTCTCTCGGTTCAGAGGTCTCATGCAGGCCCTTCTCTCGCTCAATCCCACCAGTCTCTTCTTTGCCTCCAACTCAGGCCCTGCCTGATTTCCTTGAGGCCATGCTTAGATCTAGTCCTGCCAATGTCTAGTGGGTGGATACCTGCCGAGGATGGTGGCTGTCAGGGCTGACAAGTCCCCAACAACCCTCATTGTTTGTGTGTGTGCAGGAGGGAGGCCTTCTCCATTGGCAGGAGGTACCAGCCAGTATATAGGACTTTGTTGTTTGTTTATTTATGTAGAAAAGGTAGCACTTGGCTCTCTACTCTATTCTAGCTGCCTGCCCACCATCCTTGAAATTGCTCTCCACGGTTCCCCTCCCTTTCCTTTAGCTCCAATGCTCACACTCCAGGGGGGCCAAGGGGTCAGCTGATCCCTGTATACCCAGCATCTAATGGGATATTTTGTGTAACTGGCTGGGTCTTGTCAAGAGGTGGTTTAGATGGCAGGCTTCCACTGAAGACGAGTGTGAGTACTCAGCATGTGGACAAAAGAACATACAGGGGCCAGAAGGGCCTTTGGGATGGAGCCAGGATAGTCCATCTCTAATCCCAGTGCTGGGTGTGGCTGCTCTCCTACCCATCTGAGGAAGTAGGTGTGACTAGCTTGCTGGGAAAAGCCTCTCCTACCCGTCCCAGCAGCCAGTGTCTACAAGCTGCCCACAGTTGGCTCTGCCACTGAGCCTGCCATGGTGTCTTGGGACAAGGCCCACCTGGGCCCTAAGTACATGGGCCTCTGGGACTTCAAGGCGAGAACAGATGAGGAACTGAGCTTTCAGGCAGGAGACCTCCTCCATGTTACCAGAAAGGAGGAACAGTGGTGGTGGGCCACCCTACTGGATGCGGAAGGCAAGGCCTTGGCTGAAGGCTACGTGCCCTACAATTACCTGGCTGAGAAGGAAACTGTGGAGTCTGAGCCGTGAGTGGCCCTGGGGAGTTGGCACAGAGGGAGGGGTGGGCACTGGGGTAGACCGGGGAAGCCAAAGGGTATAAGATCCTAGCTAGACATTCAGTTGGTTACACTCTGATCCTTAACATCCTGTTACACGGGATTGGGGATGGGGCTGTACCTCTGTGTGACACTGGGAAATAGGACCTCTCCTTTGGACCCACTCATGACCACTTCCCAGCCACAAGGGCAGCTCTGCTAGGACACAGGTGGGACAGAAGGGCCCAGTGTGGATTTTTAGGATGCTGGCTACAAGAGACAAGATCTGTGTGGGAATTCAAGAGCTGCTTAGGGTGTGAAGTTTGCTCTCTTTACAAACAGCCGAAACCAGATGTGCGACCTAGTTAAGGGAGACAGAAGGCTGCTGGGGCACACCTATCTATATCACTCGTCGGGGGTACATGGTGCAAATGCGGTGGTAGGTGTTTTCATCTCCCCTCAAGCGCCCTAGTCCACTGCTCCTGGCCACCCACATACCTGAGCCCTTAGAGGCTTGGAGGAACTACAGTAGTACCTGGTATTGGCATGTTCCTAGCCACCAAAGGACCCAAACTATGGAGGACGCTCTAGACCAAGGCTGGGAAGGGTCCAGCAGGAGGGGGTTCTTACTGTTTTGCTCCTGAGACCCTCAACTCCTCATCTCACAACGAGAACCTGTTGTGCTCAGTGGAAGATTGTGAGCACACAGACAAGAAACAAGAGCGCTACATGGTACCTGGGACAGCTCCAGAGACAAGGGTCTCACGATGGGAACAAGGTGGGCGTGGGTGGTGTGCGCAAAAGGCTGAGGAGAGCCAGGCGGTGGCACATGCCTTTAACATGTGGCTCTCTAAAGGCAGGTGGAAGTCTAAATTCCAGGGTAGCCTGGTTGACATAGTGAGGTCCTGTCAGATAGAGAGAGCAAGAGAGAGAGAGACACAGAGAGAGAGAGATCATGTAGCCAACATAGCAAGAACAAAGGCCCCGAGGTCCTAAGAATCTAGCACAGGTGAAGAGGTCAGATGAGGAGCAAAGCCGAGGAGGCAAAGTGGTCAGAGTGGTGAGTGGGAGAGATTCTCTAGCTTTGCAGGACCTGAGGAGATGGGCTTCAAGGGCTTGAGCTGAATGTTAGGCTCCTATGCGGAGCCCATGTTCCAGTGGCTTTTGAGGGAGTTGCAGATTCCATGGGTAGAGAATACCCATGAACTCCAAGGACTTCCACGTGTAGTTCAGTTTTAGGCATGTCCATCCCTTGTGCTGCAAGCCAGTATGTATAAATCCTTTTGAATGGGAGAGTATGTGGCTGTGTGTCACTGTGTCTGTGCATGTACACGAGGGCGTGCTGATCAGTATGTATGCATGCTTGTGTAAGGGTGCAAATGTAAATGCAGGGATGGGTATCCACAAGCACAAGGGTCAGTGCATCGGGAGTGCACGTTTGGGTATGAATATGATGACACGTGCCCCCTTTGCATCTCATTGCATGTCTGTGCACATAATTGGACATGTGCAAATGGCTAAGTGATTATGTGTATGAAAGTATAAGCCAACATTGCAGCACCAGGGAGGTGCTGTTGAGACCTTCTCCCACCTATTCTGGGCCAAGCAGTTGTCTATAGCTCAGGTCCCACAACTTGTTAAAAGATATTCACATGATGAGATTTCAGTTTGTTTGTTTTTTTTGCTGGGGGTGGGGTGGGGTGTCTTCCACAGGTGACCATCATCCAGAGCAGGATGGTAGGCAGTGCTTGGCCCATCCCACTTCTGAGCCACTAGGATCTTTTCTGGTGTCCAGAACCAGCTGTTTAGGACTTTTAGGGTCCATGATGGTCGAAGAGGCCTCTGCAAGGTTGGGAGCAGCATGAGAGGCACCGTAGCTAGGATTTGGAGTGTGAGATGGGAGCCAGGGGGCATGCAGAACTCTGCATAGGCAGGGCAACGGTTAGATAGTTGGGAGACAGGATGGATGTGGGGCTGGGTGAGGGTACACTAGGCTGAGGCTGACACTTTCCTCTGCAGGTGGTTCTTTGGTTGCATCTCCCGCTCAGAGGCCATGCACAGGCTGCAGGCTGCAGACAACTCGAAGGGTGCCTTCCTGATTAGAGTCAGCCAGAAGCCAGGAGCAGACTATGTCCTCTCTGGTACTGCTTCCCAGATCTCCCTTGCCTATGCTAACCCTGAGGCCTTCCTAACCGCATGGTGACCTGCCTTTCCTCTGATTGTAAAGCCTCTTCCTCTGGAAGCCCTGACCCTTCCCTGTGGTCCAGCTACTCACTTTCAGGTTGGGTGGTTTTCCTTTGCATCTGGCATGGCCTATGTGTCATGAAAGCCAAGGCTCCACAAGTGTTCCACTGTGCTTGTGACCCAATAACCCAGGAGTGCAAGGAACAGAATAGCCATGGCTCGTGACAGGAGTGCCAGGTAGCCAAGTACAAGCAATGTCCAGGCTGGGAACAGGGGAGGCAAAGTGGGGGGCATACAGGGCAGGATGCCTGCTTATGCCTCCTTCCGCCGGCCACCCACCCCAGTGCGGGATGCTCAGGCCGTGCGACATTACAGGATCTGGAGGAACAGTGGGGGCCGGCTGCACCTGAATGAGGCAGTATCCTTCTCCAGCCTGTCTGAGCTTGTAGACTACCACAAGATCCAGAGCCTGTCCCATGGCCTGCAGCTGACCATACCGTGCTGGAAGGTAGGCCACTGGCTCCTCTGTGACATAGTTGCTCAGGGTCAGAGAGGTGAAGTGCAATGTGTGGGCAGGAGGGACTCAGGAGACAGCATTCTCCTTGGCTATCACTCTTATTACACTAATTCACCAGAGCTCAGTTGTGCTAAGAACCAACCCTTGACCCTGGTGGATGAAGACAGCAGCATTTTTATGCAGGCCACTTAGACACTACTATGCTGGATGTGGCTCTAAATTTAAAGATAAATAGGGCTCCTTATGAGAGGTTTAGAGAAAATCCTTCCTGAAGACAACCTGGGTGACCCACCATCCCTCTTATCACCATCATTGCCCTTTCTGTCTCTCCAGCACAAAACTGAGCCTTTGCCCCACTGGGATGACTGGGAGAGGCCAAGGGAGGAGTTCACCTTCTGTAAGAAGCTGGGAGCCGGCTACTTTGGGGAGGTCTTTGAAGGGCTCTGGAAAGGCCAGGTCCGTGTGGCTGTGAAGGTGATCTCTAGAGGTGAGCAGGTCCAACCCAACTCAACTTGATCGCATGTTACTTTCCCACTATTGCTGCCAGTGGCCACTTCCAGTCTTACTCCACTGAGGGTATCGCAACATACTCACTGGGCACCTACAACATTATGGTGGGAATAATTCTTTCAATTGTACCCATTTTAATTGAAACAAGTCACTGGAAATTTGAGTTTCACCTAAAAGCCTAGCTTCACCCTCTTGTCTATACCCAATACCTCAAGAATCAGGTCAACCAAGACTTTGAAAACATCCAGCTGGGAAATGTTGACTGTGGCGATTATGGCCAAGTGGGGCATAGGAGGGCAGATGGACACATCAGGCTTGAGGCACTGAGGCCTGAGTTGTGGAGGCTTTAGTGTTCTAGCTTGGAGGCTAGCCTTTGTCTTCCTAGGCTGACCATATTTCCTGAGCTGCTTCAGGAGGTCTGGGCCTCCTGCTTGGGGCAAAGGTCAAGGGCTGTATTCACTGAGACTGATGCCTCTCAGACAATCTCCTGCACCAGCACACCTTCCAGTCTGAGATCCAGGCCATGAAGAAGCTGCGGCACAAGCACATCCTGTCACTGTATGCTATCGCAACTGCAGGGGACCCTGTCTACATCATCACAGAGCTCATGCCCAAGGGGAGCCTGCTGCAACTATTGCGAGGTAATTGGCAAGCTTTACCCTTCTTTCCTGGGGCTGAAAGTGTTTAAGGAAGCCAGCGGACGTGTAGACCCCACGTGTTCCTACTTCACCTACACAAAACAGTCAGGATCTTCCAAATGAGCGTGTTGTTTTCTTTCTTAAGTTACTTAAACCAGGTGTGGTGGTGAATGCCTTTAATCCCAGCAGTGGGGAGGCACAGGCAGGCAGAGCTCTGTGAATTTGAAGCCAGCCTACAAAGTGAGTCCGGGACAGCCAGGGCTACACAGAGAAACCTTGTCTTGAAAAAAAGAGAAAAGAGAGAGAGAAGTTACTTAAATTGTGTTAAGTGGTGGTTAGTGGGAGACTAGAAAGATTGCTCAATGGTTAAGGGCACTTAATGTTTTTGCACAGGACCAGGGTTTAGTTTCCAGTACCCACATGGTGGTCCACCATCCATAACTCCAGTCCAGGGGAGCTGACACCCTCTTTTGGCCTCTGCAGGCACCAGCCCTGCATGTGGTACACAGACATATATGCACATACATACATAAAATATTTTTAAAAACTAAAGATGGAAGCCAGGCATACTGGCATATGTATTTAAACCCAGCACTTGGAGGCAGAGGCAGGCTGATCTCCGAGTTTGAGTCCAGCCTGGTCTACAGAGCAAGCTCCAAGACTATACAGAGAAACTTTGTCCTGAACCTCTGCCCTGCCCTCCCCCAAGGTCCCCAAAACTAAAGATGGATGACAATCAAGGAAAGATATACACACATACACATGTGCACATACCCACAATAATGAGTACATGCACCACATCACACATACTACATCCCTTATACACATAAATTTTTAAAAAAGCTAGAGAGAGGGCTCTTTGGGTACAGGGCTTACTATGCAAGCACGAAGGCCTGCGATCGGATCTCCAGAACTAAAGTAAAGCCAGCATAGAAAGATGCATCTGTTCTCCCTAGGCTCTTACAGTGAGATGGGGGGCAGAGGGACAATCCTTGTTTTATTTGTCTCAGGAGCAAAAAACAAAATCCTCCTCAAACGTGTCAAGGGTTAAGACTCACGCCCAAGGCTGTCCTATGACCTCCACACACATGTATACATACACATTATACATACACAACAAAGGAAAAAAGTAAGTTACTTAAAGTTACCAATTGCTAATCACAAAATCTGAAAAAGTACAGGTAAGTTCAGAAAAGAAGATAAAAGTATGTGAGTGCTCTTTGTCTCTAGGTACATAACTGCAGAAGGTCTAGTCCTTCCCACTTTGCAATTAAGCCAGACCTTTTGCTGGAAGGCCCTTTGCTGGAGCCTTCATAGCTACAGTAAATGAGGATTGGGCTCTGGCCAGCTGACTCTGGCCTCTGATCACCCTACAGACTCTGATGAGAAAGCCCTGCCTGTTTCGGAGCTGGTGGACTTTGCATCGCAGGTTGCTGAGGGCATGTGCTACCTGGAATCTCAGAATTACATTCATCGTGACCTGGCTGCTAGGAACGTTCTTGTTACAGAGAACAATCTCTGCAAAGTGGGGGACTTTGGGCTGGCCAGGCTTGTCAAGGTAGGAACCCTTGGAGGCAGAAGCCAGAAGCAGTAATATGAGGTTTTATCTTCCAAGCCTTGAGCTTAACCCAGCCATAAGCAAGATGGGTTCTTGATAGGGTGGCATTAACAGGCAAGGGAATGGCTTTATTCATACAGTGACAAGCCTTGTTCATGCCACATTGGCCCAGCTATGAGTACCTAGCCAGACAGCCATGTACCTTGGGCTCTTCCTGTCTCCACACATTGCAGCTCTGCCCTTGTCCTCCTCCACCTAGAATCTCAGTGAATTGGCACTTTCACTGGTACAATGACACACAGGGCCTAGACATGATTGGTGACAGCAACCTCTGGTTGCAGTGGGGTGATGTCAGTGGGGTCAGACTGCAACAGGCGGTGTGTTTGTACCCGCCCACCGGGACCTTGGCGTCCACGGCAGTCAGTGCTACACAGGAAGAGTACAAGCGGCAGATCCCTCTAGCGTCAGGACCTTACCATGAGCCATCTTATTACAGGAGGACATCTACCTTTCTCACGACCACAACATCCCCTACAAATGGACGGCACCCGAGGCACTCTCTAGAGGGCATTACTCCATCAAATCTGACGTCTGGTCTTTTGGGATTCTCCTCCATGAAATTTTCAGCAGGGGGCAGATGCCCTACCCAGGTATTGCCATTGCCTCAAGAACGTCCCCAACTGTGGACAGGCAGTGAGGTGGAGTGGGGGCAGGACTTCAATGGCTGGCTGACAGAGCTGACAGGAGGTGCTTCCCAGAGCCTCAGCCAGACTCCACCCCTGTTCCATTCTTTGAGCATCCAGAGCATGCTGCTGGGATCACCTGTCCTGGAGACACTGTCTACAGGGAAGGCAACAGTCACAATGTGCTAGAAAGTTTCCAGAGCACACTGATGGTCATTCTTGCAAGGGACAACATCCAGGGAGGAATCAATGTCAGCTGGGGTGTGGCTTCCAGGGATTGGAGGGTGGAATTGGAGAGCCTCCTAGTTCTCATTTCTCTTCTCCCATGGACCACAGGCATGTCCAATCACGAGGCCTTCCTGAGGGTGAATGCCGGCTACCGCATGCCCTGCCCCCTGGAGTGCCCGCCCAACATACACAAGCTGATGCTTGACTGTTGGAGCCAGGACCCCAAGCAGAGACCTTGCTTCAAAGACCTGTGTGAGAAACTCTCAGGCATCACCAGGTATGAGAACCTAGTCTGAGCTCCTTGGACATGGCCAGGATCCACAGAAGAAGGCCTCATGATTATCCTGGACCTCTGATGAAGGTGTGCACCATCCTTCATTTTACTGAGATGAAGGGATAGGAAACATACCTAACATACCTCAAATACTGCATGTTGTCAAGGAAAGAGTAAAGAGGCAGCCATATTCCTTTCTCATCTACCCTCCTCCAGGAGGCAGTCCACAAACTCCAGGAGATCACTCTCTGGCTTTGTCCTCCCTTCTGTGAAGACTTCATGTGACAGAGAAGCCAAGAAGAGTCTAGACAACAGGCCTTGCGGAGTTCTTGCCAGCATATCACTTTCAGAATATACCTGTCCTTGGTCATTCCTCTGCTCAACTGTCCAAAAACACATCCCCCCACTCCTTGGCACCTCAATTTTGCAGGCTTTTACAGCCACATAAAACTCAGAACAGGTTTGCATGATTTTCTCTCTCTAACCTTGCCTTTGCTTAAAGAGTATCATCTAGGAAGCTGAAGACAGATAAAAGGATACGAAATTTCCTCCCTGCAGTTTCTGGTGCGCAGGGAGGCGTACTGAGGCGTACTGAGATACCTGATCATCTGGAGCCTGCACAGGTAGAGGAAAGCTGATAGAGCCAGTAAGAGCCAGTCCCCCCCTCCCCCCCCACACACACACCAAGACAGGATTTCTTTATACAATAGTCTTGGCTGTCCTGGAACTCACTTTGTAGACCAGGCTGGCCTTGAACTCACAGAGATCCACCTGCCTCTGCCTCCTGAGTGCTGGGATATTCTTACATGTGGGCAGAGGCAGCTCTTCGTGAGGCACTGTCCTCCATTCTAGAGTCAGATTCAGTTCGGGCTTGTGAGTTTTGTGTTTAGTTTTAGAGCTCCAGGTCCTTTCCCTTCAAAATTAGATGTTTTTGTCCTGAGCTCCTGAGGCAGGATAACACCCTCTCTGGAAAATTACTGACCTCATGCTCTGGCCCATCCTCCATTCTCCCCTTCCAGTTTGGCTCCGAGTCTTCCCTGATGGCTCTGGTCCAAGTCTGCTTTCCTCATGTGTCTTCATCGTTCTTGAACCTATGCTTGACCCCTGAAGTCCAGCCAGACTATCTGCTCCTCGTGGCAGCTCCGTCTACTTGAACATTAGATCCCCAGTTCTGAGGGGGAGTACCCCAAAAGCACCTACCTGAGGCTGCCTTACTGGAAGTGAGCGTAACCATCTCAGCATGTATTTATCAGCTACTTTCAGACTGACCTCTTACAATGGCTGAACATGTCCCTACCTCCTCTTGGAAAATTCCTGTGTCCAAGAGTTGACACTGTCTGGAAAGTCAAGTTGTCTTTCAATTTCCAGGGACATGGGAGAACACAGGAAAACATTTGGAAATGGGGTAAATGAAAACTCTTAGAACTAAGTCCTTTGCATAGACTTTAGTAAAAAATTTCCCCTCTCTGAGTAACTGTGCCTTTCCTTTTCACCAAGAACAGAATTTGGGCTGGGCTCGGCAGCACACACCTTTAATCCCAGCAGAGACAGAGGCAGCAGATTATCTGTGAGTTTGAGGCCAGCCTGGTCTAAGAAGTAAATTCCAGGATTGCTAAGACTACATAGAGACTCTGCCTCAGAAAAAAAAAAAAAAGGTAAAATAAAAAGAACACAATTTGTATAAAAATCCAAGTGGACATAAACTGATCCAGAGCTAAGCATTCTAAAAATGAAAGCTGTGGGCCTGTGCAACTTTGGCTGTTTGTATATGTACACGGTCCTTGGACACTTCCAGAGGGCACAACCTTGGGTGTAGTGGTGCACGCCTTTAATCCCAGCACTTGGGAGGCAGAGGCAGGCAGATCTGTGAGTTAGAGGCCAGCCTGGTCTACAGAGTGAGTTCCAGGAGAGCTGGAGCTACATAAAGAAACCCTGTCTCAGAAACAAATATGAAAATATAAAACACAACACAACAAAACAAACCTCTTACAGTTCTGTTTAGACTGGTCTAGAGATGAGCGCTCATGAAATATTCCTAAAATCTCTCAGAAACTAAGTCAAATGTTCTTAAAGATCACATGATCTAGAGTAATCTTTAAGAGTGTTGGTAAAATAAAATAAAATAAAAACAGGTATGTTTCCAGACCTGTCAACACCGAATACAGTACAGCTGGACCAGTAGTCCTTAACCTTCCTAATGCTTCGACCCTTTAATACAGTTCCTCATGTTGTGGTGACCTCCAACCATAAAATTATTTTTGTTGCTACTTCATAGCTGTAGTTTTGCTAGTGTTACGAATTATATTTTTGGAGATAGAGGTTTCTCAAAGTGGTCACAACCCACAGGTTAAGACCTACTGAGAAACTTTTTTTTTTTTTCCTTCTTACCAGGGTTTAATAAGTTTAATTCTACTGGGTATTTAAAATTCAATGAGAAATGGAACCCAAGAGCAGAATACAGAGGAAGGAGAACAGGGAATGACATTGGTCTGACTGTCAGCAAGAGCAAATTGGGTGCGGATTCCTTGTGAAACCTTCATGAGCATATCTTGAATGAATAGGAATGCAAGCAGAGTGAAAGTTTAAACAAACTTTTCAAGAATTTACAAAAAAGGCATCTGACAACCTCAAGTTTGTTCAGGCTTGAGATTGAGATATTAATTCAGCTTTGGGGTCATTCCTAAGGAAACATCAACTTAGGTTAGGCTGATCTGCTGTGACCTCCTGCTTTTTACACAGGATGGAGGTGGTAGGTGTGCTTGGGTTTGTAGGACTACCAGAAGCTGGGTAACAAAGGGCATGCTGCTGCAGTGCCTGCAGGGGTTTTCTTCAGTTGCATGCTGGCTGCTTACTCCCTGGTTTCCACTAGCACTAGGGGCCCTAGAAATAATAAGAAAACCACCTGTGCGCAAAGCATACAAGGAAAATTCCTCTGTGGTAAGGTTACACATTATCATTTGGAGAGGAAAGATTAATCATTGAGTGCAAACATAGGACTTGTTTCAGATTATGGAAAAAAAAAAAAAAGCTGATGGGCTGTTTTGATGTGTTTTGAGACAGGATTTCTCTGTGCAGCCCTGGCCATCCTGGAACTAGCTTTATAGGCCAGGCTGGCTTTAAATTCAGAGCTCCATCTGCCTCTGCCTCCTCATGCTGGGACTACAGGTGTGCACCACCACATCCAGCTCATTGACGGATACTTTTTCAAAGTATCTTTCAAATACCTGGTGGAATGGAATCTTATCTTGAGTAGTCAAAGCTGTAAGGACTGAAAGGATTCACTTAGAGTTCTTTTAAATTAGCTTAGGTGCTGGGGTTGTAGCTTGGTTGGCAGCGCACATGCCTAACATGCATGAAGTCTTGGGTTCTATCCCTAGCACCGGACACACCAGGCGTGGTGGTACATACCTGAAATAGTAGTATATGGGAGGTAGGAGGAGGAAGCTCGAAAGTTCAAGGGCGCATCCTCAGCACAGCAAGTTTAAGACCAACTTGGTCTATGAAACCTTCTTTAGGTTGTACATACAGACATTACTCATGATTTGTAGGAAAATCCTGACAATCTGGTGTATCCACATCCCGATGTCATCAGTTATAATTCTATCATACTTAAACATGTGCCCCAGAAATTAGCTCCACAGCTGTGGCTTGATTTTCTTCCACAAATGTTTACATTGACTGTTGGAGAAGAAAAGCGTCTATCAGTTCGGTCTCAAACTTCTTCCAGGTTTACATCAGAGAGATGTCCAGAAACAGGCCTTCACACCATCCGTCATCACCGTTGCAGTGTTTCTGCATGTAAAACTGGTGGGCTCACTCACACAAGAACTCATTGTCTGAGGGAACTGTTTAAATTTTGCTGGTTCTAACCCCTCCCACCCCAGCTTATGTTGTGAAAGGTGAAATATGTATCTCCTCCTTCCTAATTTTTTTTTTTTTTTAAAGAATCTAGTGTTTCCATGTAAAGATGGGAGGACAGTTTCAGGTGCTGTTCCTCACGTACCTTATTATATTTTTTTTTAAAGAAAGGATCTTTCACCATTGGGCTAGGGCAGATGACTAGCTAATCCCAGGAATCTGCAGCCCCCAGTACTGAGGTAGCAAGCACCAAAGCTCAACTCAGGTATTCACACCTGCAAGGCAAGCCGTTAGCAGCTGAGCTATTTCCTCAGTTCCAGGTAGATGGAATGTTAGTAGCTACGGGTGACTTCATGGCAGCAAGGCCTTGTGGGAAGAACTGGCCTGGTTCCTTGAACGCCTTACTATGAGAAAGGATGACTACAAAAGCCTCAGGGACTTTTCAAAGAGGGATCTACCCAAACCCACAGGTGCTACTGGCAAAAACCTTGTGGCACAATTTGGATGTGGCTGCCTGGCATGAATACACTTTCAAAGTCTAATGTGAAATTCTGAGAACAAAGTCCCGGCACTACAAACACAGGTACCTGTCAGCACTGTGAGTCAACAGACCTCTTGTAAACAGATCAGCCCTACTTTGAGATTGTAGGGGTTGTTCCAAAAGCTACAGTGTACCCAGCACTAGGCCCACTGCTTCTGAGGTTTTTATCACCCAAGTTCCAGAGTGGATCCCAAATTCTTTCTTTAGGATCATTTTTCGTACTGGTATTCCCAATTTTTTCTGTAACCCTTCTGCAAGTCACTAAAAGTCATTTCCCAGTTCTGCTGGATGCAGCTGTACAACCTGACCTCAGGGAAACCACAACTTGTGACTTCAGTCTGCAGGTCAGAAGGCTGTGGGGGAAGAACTATGGGAACAGAGTACATGGGAAGATGGATCAGTACTGCTTGTTGCCCAGAGCTGTTGGCTGTCCCTAGTGTCTGGCTCTGATAACAAGCAGTAGCAATCAGCAGCTCTGTGGGCCTTACTGAACATTTTGGCCTAAATGGATCACATTTCCTGTTCTGAATCTATTAAAGGTGAAAAGAGCCTCCTCCACCTAAAACCTGCTCAGGAGTAAGGGCAGCAATCCACAGGCCACCTGGATACCCTAAGGGCAGGCAAGGGGGGGGGGGGGAGGCTCAGCTGTCAGAGGCACAGGCCCCAGTTCCCTTGGGAGATAGCAGCTGTTTACAGCACAAGGGCCACAAGGGTGAGGGAGCAGGAAAGCCTGCTGTGCTACTCCAGCCTTACATTGCTGGCTTAAGCCACTCCCAACAGCTCCCAGGGCAACTTACCCTGAAGGTATACCCAGCCTTGGGGAACTATCCACGCAGCAAGTAGCTAGGAGGGGCCTGACCCAAGGTCATCCACCAGGTTCCTGCTTAGGCATTGGGTTCCCTTCAGCTGAGAGCTTCCAAACTCAGGCAGAGGCACAGCCTGCCCTGTACACCTATGGCTAACTGCTACCCTAGGCTCTCCAGAAGTAGAGGCACCCCAGCTCCTTGGGCCAGGCCCACTCGAGAGGGCACCTCACCAGATTCAGAGATATTACTGTGAAGAGTCTCAAAAGAGCTGTCAGGAAGGCCTAGGAGCAGAACAGCACCAAGCGGGAAGAAAGGCTGGACTCAGTAATGTCTCAAAACACACCAAAGGGGGGGACGGGTGCTAGCTGTTTATTTTCTGCTTGGTTCAAGGCACAGTTACCGGGTCAGTGGTATGACCCAAGAGGGGCCCCCTCCAGCTCCTGCTGGTGTCTGTTGCTTACTGCAGCCTTCCTAGTTTACAGGGTAGGGTGGGTAGGTGGGACTCTGGCCTAGTACCACTTAAGGTGAGGTTGGCTGGTGATTCTGCCAGATCAGGATGGGGCCCTGGTGTTGGCCTGGCCAGGATGGATGACTGGCTGCTGCTTCATGGTTTCAGGAGCCAGGTCACTGGTGATCGGGCTTCTGGGGGCCTGGGAGGACTCTGCTGAGCTGTAGGGAAAGCATAAGTCAGTGGGTCAGAATCTGCTTGAATTGGGCCACCCCCACAACCTCATGGAAGATGGACTCACTGCTCAGGAGACTCCAACACTGTGGACATGAATGGAAGGGTGGACTTCCCGAAAAAGAAGCTGGTCCACCAGTGGCCGGGATCGGCCTTGGGGAGACCTGAGAGGAGCAAACGAGGGTCACGATGTTGTCATCCGGTGGGGTCCCATCCCTCTCCACGATCCCCACTCATCGTCCACCCCCGCCTTCTGCTGGCTGGTTCTTGCACTCACCCGGGGAATGGGGCACGGCGTCTCCCGTGTACTCGGCACTTCCGGAGGAGCTGTTGCTTGACAAGGAGCCCAGGCGTCCTGGGGAGGGGAGGCGGGTCAGACACAGGGCCCTGACCCAGCTCTGGGCGGGGTTGGCGAGGGGCTACTTACGCCGATAGTAGTCATGGGTTGCCATGAGGGAGCCGCCGGAAGGGATGGCAGCCATGCTTCAGGGCAGGGGCGCTGCGGGGGACCTGAGTAGAACGTAGGCCTAGTCAACGGATTGGGTCCCAAGTCCCCCAGGCCCTGAAACACCGAGAGGCTCCAACCAGCTCCGGCCGGCTGCACGGTGAGACAAAGGAGCTTTGTCTGCGCCCGGCCCCAAGAAGGCGCGCGCCTGCCCCACCCCCCGCCGGCTGCCGCCACCTCCGGTACTACGGCAGCCCTCACCTCGTCGGCGACCCCTCCTCGCGGGCTTCGGTGCACGGTCACGGGTGACAACGCCTGGGGCGCCAGGCCGCAGGACCCATTTGCAGGGACTCGCACAACAGCTATTCTACGACCCGCGCACGCGCATACTTATTTGCTTTTCTCCGCGGGCAAAAGCCGCGGCACCGTGGGGCGGAGCGGGCGCGGCCAGGCCCCTCCTCCATCAGGGCGGCCCCACCCTTGAGATTTTTGAGCCCTCCTGACCTCTGTTAGATCCTCTTTGCTCGGGCGGATCAGGTTCCGCCCTTCCCTTTTAGATTTTTTCCGGAGCCGAGCGAGGATTCGCCTCACCTTCTGCAATACCGGGTTCTGCAGATTCCACCTTGGCCCTAACCTCCTTGATGAAACAGAGCTGGACTTAGCTCTGCGGCTTTTTTTTTCCACTTGGTTTGGACTGGAAGCACCTGGACCCACATAGAAGCGGTTAAAGAATCTTAAGTGGGATCTGTGTCAGTCTGTGCAACCCTCTCGGACGTGGCCTCCCGTAGCCGAGCCTGTTTGGTGTTCTCGTCCCCTTTACTTGCTGCTGTCCGCCACTTGCGCCGGTCCCCGCAGGCTTTGTTTTCCGTGTGCCTCCCTCCAACCCTTCGCCGAGTAGGTCTGTCTAACTTAAGTAAGCACAAGGGGCAGCCGCCCCCGCGCGCGTCCCTACGTCACAATCTCCCTCTGTCTTCTGGGTGCATTAGATGGTGCCTGGAGCCCCCAAGCGGCCCTGCAAGGACTAGCCCGCCCGTGGGAAGCTGAGAAGTCACCTGCTTCTCCTTCAAGTCGCACTGTTCACCGTACCCAGACTGTTCTGTTGCTTGGAGAGGAGTGATGGAAGAGAAATTACAGACGACGCCTTGGGGGCAGAGAGAGAGAGGCAGTTTTTAGTAATTAGCATCAGGTAGAGGCCTGCACTGTTGGTCAGAGACTCGTGTTTGGGGGAATCAAGTGCTTGGAGCTCTAGGAGTATACCGTGCCCTCCCTTCCCTTCCCAGGCAGCCTTCTGGCAGACCCCGATGAGCCAGCTTCGTGTAGCATGCTTCTATAAGCAAAGATGCTAGACTTGCTCTTTATGGGGGCTTAGGTAGAGCCTGATCTAGGCTGGGGCTAGTAGGACCCAGGGCGTGCTCCTGTGTCTCCAAGGTCTCAAGGAGGCTTTGGCTGGAACCCTTTGCTTGAATCTGTTGAGACATACTCTGTGCAAACACTGAACCAGGCTGGGAAACCAGACAAGAAACGGCCCAGTTAGGGGTGTTGGCTTAGAGGCCCGACGGGAGAGAGGTAATGACATGAGAGAGAGGTGAGGGAAGTTGACAAAGCAGCAGAAGTAAGGACGCTGATAAGGCAGACTGGCCAGTCCAGGTGATCTCAGGAGTGTGAGATTTCTGTCAAAACCAGGCTTGCTTCCTGGCCTCATGTGCTTCAGACTCTGTGTCTTACCCTGGACTGTCCTGGTCAAGCGTGGGCTAACAACCAATGGTTATTAGCTGTTTCTGCTAGTAAAAGATTCCCTCTGGAAAGGAAGTAAAGGGTATATGCCTAGGCCTTATGCATCTTGATATGCTGAGTTCGGTTGATATCATAGGGAGGCCTGCTCTTTTCTGAAGGGAAACAGAGGAGCAATGGATCTAGGGGAGGTGTGGGAGGCTTTGGTAGGTATGTGTTGTATGAGAGAAAAATGAAAAAAAAAAAAAAAAGGAAGAAATCTCTCAAGAATACAAGAGAGTTGCTGGGTGGTTGGGGCGCATGCCTTTAATTTCAGCACTTAGGAGGCAGAGGCAGAAGGATCTCTGAGTTCTGGGCCAGCTTGGTCTACAGAGCAAGTTCCAGGATAGCTAAGGCTGAGGTGGAGGAAGTCAGGGGTTTAGGGTTTCCAGTGGGAGGTGGGGAGAAGGGGTCAGGGCTGCCACGACTTCTGCTGAGACTAGCTCTAGCCTTGTCATCTGTTTCCAGGATGGGATTTTCTCTCTGTTCATCAAATGGGTTAGAATACAGAGATCATTCGCTGAAGAAGCAGCTGCTGCCCTTGGCGCCTCAGGGAGTGGAGGTTGAGTAAGACCAGCATTGAACCTACCTGCCCAGCATATGCAAAGGTCCTGAGGCTAGCAGGAACTATGGTCCAGTGGTCCCCTGAAGAGGTTGGAACAAGGTTCCACCTCCTTAAGGGAAACAGAGGAGCAAAGGATCTAGGGGAGGTGTGGGAGGCTTTGGTAGGTATGTATTGTATGAGAGAAGAATGAAAAAAAAAAAAAAGTTTGGTGCAGAATGAAGTGCCCTGATCCCTTTCCTCAGGAAACAGGAGATGTGTGTGGTTTGTGGTCACTGACTGAGCCTCACAGCCTGAGCTGATCTGAGGATATGCAGCCTCTCTGAATCTGCTCTGTGGTAGTAAGATGGGGTCCCACTTGGGGCCTTTCTGTTTGTCTCAGGGCCAGATGGTTTGGAGATGCAGTATTCTTCTAGGGTTGGACAGGTTAAGGCTGAAAATATGCTATGCCCACTTTCTGCCAGGCGCTCTCTCTACAGTGTCCTCTTGGGAGCAGAGTTTGTGATCCAAGGATCAGCACCTGGGAAAAGAAAGAAGAGAGGCCATGAGAGTTTGGGGCAAGCTGGCTGCTTCACTTGGAAGGAGGTGGCTTGGGGAGGCTTCAATGAGGAGGCTCACAGTAGGGACCATTTCCTGATTATCCCCAGAGCTGGACGTTAAGGACTTCTGTCTCTCCCAGGCCACCCTTGACTGTGATCTGGGCCTGTCTAATCATTCCCCCTCATTCTCAGCCTCACCTAACAGCATCTGTAGTAGAGTCTGAAGGGAGCCTCTTCCGTCTGTCTTTCTCTCTGTGTCTGTTTCTCCCCTTCCCTACATTGCCTCTTCCCTCCCTTCTTTCCTATCTAAGATAAGGTCTCACTGCTATCCAGGCTGGCTTCAGATCTTTGAGTTCAAGTGATCCTCCTGCTTCAGCTTCCCACATGCAGAGGCCCCAGGCATGTACTGTGTGGTTCCAGCTTTGGGATATTCTTAATTTCTTTTCTTGTAAATATGGAATAATTCATGAATTCACATGTCATCCTTGTACAGGGGCCATGTTAATCTCTGTATTGTTCAAATTTCAGTATATGTGTTGCTGAAGCAAGATATAGACTTTTATTTTTATTTTTACTCTGATTTATGTTGGTATACTTATTTCTTTTGGTTATTAGCTTTTTTGCATTTTATTTTTTTTAATTTATCACAATTTATTCACTTTGTATCCCAGCTGTAGTCCCCACCTTCATCCCCTCCCAATCCCACTCTCCCTCCCTCATCTCCTCCCATGCCTCCTTTCCCAGTCCATTGATAGGGGAGGTCCTCCTCCCCTTCCATCTAACCCTAGCCTATCAGTTCTCATCAGGACTGTCTTTCATAGTCTTCCTCTGTGACCTGGTAAGGCTGCCCCCCCCCCTCCCAGGGGGAGATGATCAAAGAGCCAGCCACTGAGTTCATGTAGAATATTCTTTCTTTAAAGGGGAAAAAAATCTGGTGATATGGTTCAGCAGGTTAAGCCACTTGACTTGGAAACTTGGAAACCTGAGTTAAGCCCATGGGAACGTGGATGAAGAGAGCTGACTCCACAGAATTTTCTTCTGACGTCTGCACATGCTGTTCAGTGTGGGGAAAGGGTCTATGGGGTTTTGTCTGCAGCTACTCCCCAGCATCTGTGCAGACAGCTTGCTCTAACCTCAGGGTAAACACCTCACCCTTTCTTAACTATCTCTTCTGAGGTGCCTAGTGAGGCTGGCTCCATCCAGCTCCCGTTGCTAACCTGTCCCTGGGTTGTGGCTCATGTTGGAAAGCCAGGGTTAGGTGCCCTGAAGTGTGGCCTCTCACTGGCTGCTTGAGCTGGCCAGCAGCTGACTTGCTGACTCCACTCCCCTATGAATGACCACAGGTAGAGTGGATGCCTGCCAAGTAAGAAGGAGGAGGTCAGAGAACACCAGCCTTTCTCTGCTTGGTGGGTTCTGAAGGCCTCGGGGTCTGCAAGGTTTGGACACCGGGTCAGGATATAGGAGAATGGAATGGGTGTGAACTTTGGCCTCTAGCTGAAGGAAACGGGGACAGAAAACTGTGTATGTGAGTCCACCATTGGTGTGCTGCACAGGGCTAGTTAGGTCAAGATTGCATCCTGGATTCTGTCTTTGGACAGATGGCACCGATGGGCACATATCATACAGCCCAAGTGGATGATGACCAAGATTTTGCACAGAGTGGAAAGGAAAGGCTGAGGTTCTGAGTCTACATTGTAATGCCATCTGCCACTTCTGAGCTTGTCCCTCTCACACAGATGGCTGCATAGGATTGGCTACTCTTGAACAATGGGGAGAGGGCCTGTGTTTGCCAGGTGTATTCTGCTCCAGCCACAGGCATCTGGGGTAGAAGTGGGAGCTCTCCCAAAGACTGAGACAGAACCAAGTTCCTCAGGACGCCTTAGCCTACTCTTGAGGAATGTTGTCTTTGCAGTAGCCCAGCCCCAACCCCTTTGCTGATGGGTCTGGCCAGACCTGGTACCATCTAGATGATGTCACTATCTGTAGAATAAAATAAAATGACTAATGTTTTTAAAAGCCTTATAATAGCTGGAGAGATGGCTCAGAGGTTAAGAACACTGTTCTAAAGATCCTGAGTTCAATTCCCACAACCCAACCACGTGGTGGCTCATAGCCTTTATAATGAGATCTGGTGCCCTCTACTGGCTTGCAGGCACACATGCAGGCAGAATGCTATATAAATAATAAATAACCCTTTTTTTTAAGCTTATAAGATAGGTGGTACTCTATGTGTGACCAGCCACTTTTTATTCCCTCAACTTACTTTATGTAAAATGCAAAAGTATCTTATTCATGGGGTGAGCTATATTAAAGTTAGGAAGTTTTCTATAAATGTTAAGATTTGTGCCTGGCACATGGTACGTGCTCAATAAAGCTAGATATTGGGTAGGGAAGTAGCTCAGTGTACGAGTGCTTGCCCAAGGGTTTTAGTAACACACACACACACACACACACACACACACACACACACACAAACATACCACAGGGCAGGGAGGGTAGCATGTACTTGTAATCAGAGCACTCAGGAGGTTGAGGCAGGAGGATCAGAAAACTACATAGTACGAT